CTGAAGTAAACAGCTTTGCCAGCTTCCTCTCAGCCAGAAGTTCTCGGTCCACGAAGCAGTGGGAGCCCCACGCAGAAGGGCGATTGTTTGCTCTCTGATCTTGGCCACTTTGATTTACCTCCCGGGGCACGGGACTTAATACGCATTCACCAAGGGCCTGTCTGCTCCAGCCACTGAGGCTGCATGGACAGCGAGGCGCCAAACAGACAAGGTCCCAGGCCTCGCCAAACGTGCGAGTGGGCTTCACAAAATCCATGGGGAAATTCCAGTCGCTTCATCTCTCCATGAATTTTTTGAAGCCCCCTGTGTGAGCTAGCTGGGGAAACAGACAGGTGAACACTCCCAGGACTCTCTACTTACAGAGGATAAGAAGAGTTTTGGGGGAAAACAGGGCTCTGAGCCTGGTCCGCTTAGTAAGGGCCTCGTCTGGTCCTGGAGGGGCCTGGTGCCACAGGGGTTATGTGTTGGGCTGCTAACTGCAAGGTCGGCAGTTTGAAACCACCAGCCGCCACCCTCCCCCGCCCTCCCCCCGGGGGGACAAACAACAGAAGCCATGGGAGAAGGGAGGCAGCAGTCAGTGTGAGATATGAAAATAATAATCATTTATCATTTATGAAGAGGACATGAGGGAGGGGAAAAAGAGGAGCTGATACCAAGGGCTCAATAGAAAGTAAATGTCTGGAAAAGAATGATGGTAATAGATGTACAAATATGCCTGATATGATTGATGGATGGATTGTAACAAGAGCCCCCAATAAAATGGTCTTTTAATAAAAAATTAAAAAGAAAGAATCCGCCAGCCACTCCTTGGGAGAAAGACAGAGTTTTCTGCTCCCCAAAAGAGTTATAGTCTCGGAAGCCCCGGGGGACAGTTCTACCCAACAGTGTCGTTATGAGTCGGCATCAACTCATTGGTAGTGAGTGAGTCTGGCCGCCGGGGACACGTTATGTTAACCAGGAGAAAGATGTTGGAAAGAGGGGTGGAAAGACGTTGGAAAGGGGGAGAAAGAGAGGGTAACTCAAGCAGGAACGGCGGCCGCAGAGATCCCACGCTGGGGAGGAACAGCAAGAGGGCCCATGCAGCCAGATCCAGAGAAGATGGTCTGAGCTGGAACTGGGAGAGCAGGGCAGGGCCGAGCCACAAGGACTGAGCCACGAGGATTTGGGTCTGGCAGTGAAGGCTTACTTCCAGGCCAGGCACTGTTCTAAGAGTCTGGTCCATGGGTCCCGCATGGGATCCTCCCAGCAAGTCTAAATCAGGGACTGTCTTTAGTCTTCATTTTACAGACGAGGAAACGGAGGCATGGAACGTCTCCACAACAATGCCATGATCACATCAGTCAGTGATAGGACCTTAGCTCCAACATCAATGTCCTCACCCATTCCCATGTGTCCCCCGCCCCCACACGCCTTTCAGCAACCCCATGCCCTTGAAGTGGTCCAGATCTGGTGCCGCCATCAGATTTGAATCGTTAAAGCTTGCTGTGGGGATAGGATGCTTATCATTCTGATGACTGCTGTCCCCATCCTTGGGGAAGAAGCTGGTCTGTTTGGGGATGTGCCAGAGCAGGCTTGCAAAGGCCAATTGTGCACATCCTTTCCCACACTCAGGGACTTCGGGTTGGTAGCTCGAAATCAGCTATGGGGAGGGTATTTACACTAGGGTCAGTGGCACACGCTACAAACGAGGGTCTGTTTTCCCCTGAAGAGCTGGTGTTAAGTATGTATTAGCACAGCCCTGTCGCTCAGCCCTGACAGCCTCGCCCAGCCCCCACGCACACCCTTCCACTCCAGCCCCAATGCTTAGCAAGCGAGGGCCAAGAGTCCAAGAGCGCCCAGCTTGAGAGTCCAGTTCTATCAAGCTGAGGCATCATCCCTGACCCACTCTCTTCCACCCCAGGCCTCGAGGAATGCGGGCACATCAGCCTCTCAGACCCAGTTGTGCGCCTGGGCAACCCCATCACAGCCTCCTGCATCATTAGCTGGAACTGCAGCCACCTGAAGCCAGAGCCAGAGATTCTGTGGAAGCTGGAATCAGAGCATCAACCTGGTGGGACACAACGACGCCTACCAGATGGGACCCTGCAGTCCAACATTACCCTGCCCCACCTCAACCACACGCGGGCGCGTCTCTCCTGCTACCTGCAGTGGGGCAGCAGCTACCTACAAATCCTGGACCAAGCTGAGCTGCAGGCAGGCTGTAAGTCCCTCTAACCATCTACCCACTCTGCCCCAGCGTCTTCCTACAAACTGGCCCCCACTTGCTCAGCAAGCACTGGATGGGCATTCTACCAGGCGGTCCTCCCTACCGATGCCAAAACAACCAAACCCCTTGCCCTCTCACCACATTCCAACTCACCGCAACCCTAGTGGCAGGGTAGAGCTGACCCCTGAGGACTTTCGAGACCTTTAACTTTGTACAGGAGTAGAAAGCCCACCTTTCCCTCAAGTAGCGGCTGGTGGTTCCACACGGCTGGCCACTGTGCCGCCGGGGCTCCTCTTCCCGAGCAGTGGGCACTGTGAGTAGCCCCACTTTGCAGATGAGAAAACTGAGGCTCGGGGAGGGTTCCTGACTTGCCAAGATTTCCAGCGGGCCATGTGGCTCTAAAGCCAGTGCCGTGACTCTCTCCGGCTGCAGATCAAACCCACCTCCTTGGCCATCGGACTGTGTGTCCCAGACAAGTTTCTCTACGGGTGGGCTTGCTCTCCGCCTCTCTCCCACCCTGGTCCCAGCCTTCTGAGCAGGATAGAGTAGGGTTTGTGCAGAGGTGAGGCCTAAGGGAGAAAAAATTACAGCAAGGTTCTTGATGACCAATCAAGAATACTCGCAGCTAACACTTACTCGCTCTTACTTTGTGCCAGGCACTGTCCCAAGGACTTTGTGTGCAATGAATCAAGTCGCCCTCACCATAACCCTGGGACGACGCGTATTACTGCTACTCCTCCCATTTCACAGCTGAGGGTCCCAGTCCATTGACTCCGAGGTCTCACAGCGCATGAATGACAGAACCAGGAGGAAAGCCCGAGCGTTATAATGTCATTGACAGAGGGGTCTATGTGGGGAAAGGTCAGATGCTTACAGACATCCTCCCCAGGACAGTCAGTCACCAGACCACTGTAGGCTCAGATCCCTGCTGTTAAGGACAATGGACAGGCCGATTTGGTTCCTGTAGGTGGGGTTTACACCCTACTAATAATGGTTCCTATGGAGACCCAGAGAACAGGTCAAAGTTAAGCTGCCATCCTAAATCTAGGATCCACCCATCTTGTCACATGTATACCCTCAATCCCTCCTCTTCCTATTGCGTGTATGTCCCTAGACCACCCCCTCATTACTGTGTAACCTATAGTGTAACCCCTTCCTGTGACATATGTCTTTACCTGTAATTAGTGCGCTTGCACACCCCCAAAGGTATATAGGCCTGGATTAGCAATAGAGAGTCTCTCCCTCTCTCTCGGCTCCTCCCTTGGCCTCTGTGAGTTCCCCTGGTCCCTTTCCGCTTGTCCTCCTTCCCCTCCCCCTCTCTCCATATGGACCACCAAGCAGGGCTGAGGTGAGCATTGCTCCATTACTTGACTCTCTCTTCTATCTCTCATGCTCTCGATGACTTTAATATAATATTTATATATCTCAACCATACAATTGTGCCTATCGAACCCATGATTAGTGGTGGGGGCTGGCCACCCATCTTCCAACTACAGGTCTAGAGTTGGGGAGATTGGAGGTGGGGCCTGCCAGTTCGCAGGTCCTATGATGCTTGTCGCTGTTCACGCCTGTAACTTGCCTTCCCCCAGGTTGCCCTTCAGGTTCATTTTGTATGGAGACAGGGGATAGACAAGGTAACCCCAGGGGGATGGACGCAGGACAAGAACATGAAGCCAGACCAGAGCTTTCTGGCTGGTTCCACCCCACGCCCTCACCCTCTCCCCACCCCACACAGATCCTCCCCCAACACCATACAACCTGTCCTGCCACATGAACCTCACAGCCAGCAGTCTCATCTGCCAGTGGGAGCCAGGACCAGACCCCCACCTGCCCACCAACTTCACCTTAAAGAGCTTCAAGTGAGTGGGGCTTCCTGCCTCGGCTCCCTTCCTCTGGGTCCAGGGTGGGACATGGGCAGGAGGACTCTGCTTGGAATCTCTGCTCGGCACCCAAGCCTGATCCTGTTGGCAGGAGCCGGGGCAAATGCCAGACCCAAGAGAAGCCCATTCCGGACTGTGTGGCCGAGGCCAGGCAGAATCACTGCTCCATCCCACGCAAGCACCTGACCCTGTACCAGACAATAGGCGTCTGGTTGCAGGCAGAGAACACGCTGGGAACCAGCCTGTCCCCACAGCTGTGCTTTGATCCCATGGACCTCGGTGGGTGACTCTGGGGATGGGGGTGGGGAGAGGCAAGCAGAGCCAGAGAGGCACCGAGAGAGCAGCAGGGTCCGGTGATGGGCAGAGAGACGTGGGAAGAGCTAGGAATTGAGCCAGAAACAAGGGGAAGAGCTAGTGGAACGTAACTGGAGACAGAGAAACAGAGACAAATGCAGAGGCATGAAAGGGACCCAGAGGCAAGGAGCCACATCCATTCATTCTTTCAGCAAAGAATTCATTTCTTCGTGTGCCCACCTTGTACAGGCCTGGTTATAGGTGTTGTGGAGACAGCAGTGAATAAAGCATTCATGGTCCTGCCCTCTGCACTTGACATCTCACTGGGTAAAATCTATAAATCAATAGGGGGGTAAGTGCGATGAGGAGGGGGCGCAGGGAGAGCAGGATGGGAACAGTTACTATTTCCGTAGCAAGGACGTGCTGAGGATTGACGTTTGCGCAGATGCGTGAAGGCGATGGAGAGAAAGGGTCCCAGACTGGGGGAACGATCAGTGCAAAGGCCCTGGGGCAAGCAGGGAACAAGAACCTGGTGAGACACAGAGTCACACATACACAGGCGCAGACCCAAAGCATGGAGACGTGGCTGGACAGAGATGCAGGAACGTGCCCAGAGAGATCCTGCCTGGATGGAGGCCAGGGAGGAAAATGGAGCCATAGACAGAGAGAGGAGGCGGGCTCAGGAGCCCTAGAGGGTGGGAGCCCTCTAGGGAGGGTGTCAGAACCAGAAGTGGTCTGACAAGCATCCTCCTTGCAGTGAAACTGCAGCCCCCCATACTGAGGGCACTGGAGCCCAGCCCTGGGGGCGCCCCGGCCCTGCCAGGCTGCCTGTGGCTGTCCTGGGAGACACATAACTCAAGCTGGTTCATGAGAAAGAAATGTGAGCTGCGCTACCAACCTCGGCTTGCAGAAGCCAACTGGGCCCTGGTGAGGCGGAATGCCACCTCAAGAACTGGGGTGGGGGGTGGGGGGGTTGTGGCTTGAGCTGGCCCTGGAAGGACCCAGGCAGCTAGACTCAGAGCCATGCCTCCTGCCAGGTGACCCCCTTGCCCTCCAAGAGCCTCCACCACGAGCTCTGTGGGCTCTTGCCGGCCACAGCCTATATCCTGCAGATGCGCTGTGTCCGCTGGCCCCTCCCCGGACACTGGAGTGACTGGAGCCCCAGCCTGGAGCGGAACGCCACGGAGCGGGGTAAGTGGGTGGTGCAGGGCTTGGGTGGCCTTCCGGGTCCAGCCCAACCTCCAGGACCCTCCCTGATGGACAACTTCTTCACAGCCCCCAATGTCAGGCTGGACACAAGGTGGCGGCAGAGGCAGCTAGACCCCAGGACTGTGGAGGTGCAGCTGTTCTGGAAGGTGAGCCCTTCGGAGGGCCATCCCTCCACCCCTGAGCCCTCCACCCTCCCTGACCAAGGGCTACATTCTGGGATCTTTTGCATGTGGCTTAAATGCACTTTGCATGCACCAAGTAAGCCCCCTGAGGGTCGGTGCAGGAATAATCATGTATATATCTGCGTGAGCACCCACTCGCTCTTGCCTCCCTCTGAGGACCTGGTGCAGGGAACAGAGGGAGGGAGAGGGCCCAGGTCCTGTGATCCTCCCACCCCAACTCAAAACAATCTGTACATTCCCCTTATGTCTGCCTTCCTATTCCTGCTGCAGCCAAGGCTCCTGGAGGAAGACAGCGGGCAGATCCAAGGGTACCTGGTCTCCGGGAGACCCTCAGCCCAGGCTGGGGCAGCCCCACTCCTCTGCAACACCGCGGCGTTGAACTGCACCTTCCGCCTGCCTCCGGAAGCCCGGGAGGTGGCTCTTGTGGCCTACAACACAGGAGGGACTTCTCAGCCCACGCCGGTGGTCTTCATGGAGAGCAGAGGTACAGGGGCTGGCAGTTATGAGAACACCATAGTTCTGGTTCGGCATGAGCATGCTGAGGGTTCCCATCCAGCTCTGTCCACTGTTCACAGTGTGGCCTGGGCCTCTGTTTACTCATCTGGAAAATGGGCGCGATCATGGTGTCCAACCTCAAGGAGTTATTAGGGAGATTTAAATGAGTTCGGATGCATGCCTGGCACAAAGGAGCTGCCCGGTATGTGTCAGCCCTTCTTATTATCAGCGAGAGCCAGGTAAAGCTGGTGGTTTCTACACACACACACACACACACACACACACACACACACACCCCGAGTCCACTCTGCTAAGGAAGCCGAGGAAGAAAGCTCTAAACGTGTCCAGCTGGAACATGGTTCCTGAGCTCATTGCTCGTTCTCATGGGGATTAATCATTATCACCCCCCAGGATCTCCTGAACTCTGGCCGAGGCTACCAAGGGCAATAACAATCATAACCAGCGCCGTGCTATCAACTACTCCTACTTCCCAGCTGGGTGACCACAGACAAGTTGCTTAGCCTCTCTGTGCCTCTCAGTTTCCCAATGGATCAAACGGGAATAATAGTCCCTCCCTCGGGGGACTGTTGCAAGACTTGATGACTGAACCTCTCCAGGATTGCGGCTGGCACCTGCCAAGATCAAGGAAGGATAGAAGACTGGCGCGGCATTGAAGCATTACAATTGTGGGGTTGGCGAAGCCCGGTGGGGATCCTGTGGGCTGCCAGGAAATCAAAGCCATCTGTCTTGGAAGAAGCTCCTGCCATGGCAATGCCTCTTAGAAAGGAGGGCGGGGAGCCTTTAGACTTGTTATCCGGAGAAACGAATCCCTGGAGGGAGGTGCCACCCTTGATAAAGTGGACACGGTCAGCCAAGAAAGGAAGGGCCTCCACGAAATGGCTCCACTGTGGCTTCCGACACGACAACACCACACACGGGTGCTCTCAGTCAGGGCCACCTCCGTGGCATCTCACAACAAGAACAGGTAGCTGTCGCGATGACAACAGGTCCCTCGGTGGCTCGGGGGGCACTCAACTTCTAGCCCAACATTAACCTAGTAACTCTGCAGAAGAAAGACCTAGCAGCCTAGCTCCTCAGACTCTACAGCCAAACCCAGAAGCCCTTGGGAGCAGTGATGCTCTGAAACACGTGCCGTTGCCAAGGCTTTGGGTCAACGCAACAGCATGGGTTTAGTTGGGTTTGACAAGTACCGTTACCAGTACTACTCTACTTGTTGATAGGAAGATGAAGCTGTCTGTCCCCATCAAGATTCACGGTCTCAAGAACCCTTCAAGGGTCAACAATGGGGGGGGGGGGCTCTGCCTGAGTGCGGATCATAATAAACGAAGGCTCACACTGCCAAGAATGAGCCTTCATTATGCTCCTGTGGAACCTGTACAGGAACCAAATAGTCGTGCCAACAGAACAAGGGGTCAGTGGTGGTTTGAAACGGGGAGAGGCGTGCATCGGGGTTGTATCCTGTCACCACGCGTATTCGCTCTGGAGGCTGAGCGAATAACCTGAGAGACTGGACTAGGTGAAAGAGAAGGCGGCATCCGGATGGGAGGAAGCTCATTAACAACTTGTGATCCGCAGCTAACACAACCCTGCTCACGGAAAGCAAAGAAGACGTGAAGCACTTCTGCGAAGGTTACAATTCACTGTAAAGAAAACCAAAATCCTTCCCGTGGACCAACAGAAAACATGGTGAGAGGCGGAGAAGAGACTGCAATGTCAAGGTTTCACTTTACTTGGTTCCACCGTCAATGCTCATGGGGCAGCAGTTGAGACATCCAACTCTGTGTCGCATTGGGCAAATCTGCTGCAAGAGACCTACGCGAAGTGTTCAAGAACAAGGACATCCCCTGAGGACTAAGGTGAGCCTGGCCCAAGCCAGGGTATTTCCAGTCCCCTCATAGGCATGCGAGAGTTGGACAAAGAATTGATGTATTTGAATTACAGGGTTGACAAACAATATTGAAAGTGCCGTGAACTGACAAAGGAACCAATAAATCTGTCTTGGAGGAAACAGACAGAATGCTCCTTATAAGTGAGGATAACAAAGCTTCATCTCATGTACTTCGGATATGTTCTCAGTGGAGACCGGTCCCTGGAAAAGGCGCTCATGCTTGGTCAAGTAGAAGGTCATCCAGAAAGTGCAGGACCCTTCACAAGATGGACTGACATGGTAGCTCGAACACAATGGTTATGAGGATGGTGCAGGACCAGACAGGGCTTCATTCATTATACGCCTTTGTGAGCTGGGGCTGGCTCAACGGCACCGCACACCCATTCGCCGGTACTGAGCGTGTTGTAAGCATCCTTCTCATTGAAGCCACCCCACAGCCCTGTGAATCAGGAACGTGTGTCATCGCTTCCATTTTACAGATGAGAAAAGTGAGGCCCCGGTGTTCCTTACCCAGAGTTCTCCAGCGTGTAAGTAGCAACGCCAGGACGGATGCTGAGCTTCAGCCTCTGGGAGCCACACTTCTTGTCTCTTCATTCCACTCTCTCCTTCTCTGTCTCCAGGCCCACCACTAGCCAGACTCCATGCTGTGGCCCGAGATCCTCACAGCATCTGGGTGGGCTGGGAGCCCTCCAGACCCCGGCCCCAGGGCTATGTGATTGAGTGGGGCCTAGGTCCTCCCAGCCCCAACCCCAGCAACAGAAACTGGAGGGTGGAACATAATGGGAGCATCCCAGGGACCTTGCTACAAGGTAAGCAGGTCTGGGCATGGGCAGGTGGTGGGCAAAGGGAAGGAGACAGGGGGAGGGGACAGCGCTTGTCTGATGACAGGCCAGGGGTGAGCTGAACCATTTTAGTGAAGTGCATTCCCGAGTTTTTCTGGATCCGTGTGTGTGTGTGTGTGTGTGTGTGTGTGTGTGTGTGTGTGTGTATGTAACGATATACACAACTCTTGCCAAGTCAACCATTCCTGGGGACGTGGATGGATGTTCACGTTGTACAACTGTTCTTGCGAAGCTTTTCTTGTGAATTACTCCACCACCATGAACAGAAATACCATGCTCCCTAAGCACAGTGCTCCTTGCTCCCCTCCTGCCCCTCCCTGGCAACCACGAAACAGAACCTTTGGTGCCTGCTCATCTGCTTATTTCACAGCACACTTGTCCTCTAGTGACTGACCTAGTTCACGCCGTGTAATCGTGTTTCATCCATGGAGGGGCACGCGTCAGGACCTCATTTCTCTTGATGGCGGAGTGATATTCTGTTCGGCGTGCACCAGATGTTGTTTACCTCTCGGCTGTGGGCGAACATTTTGGTTGTTTCCACCTTTGGGCGATCAGGAACAGCGCTACTGTGAATGTTGGTGTACTGTTGGCGTACTGGGCTCTGTCCGCATGCCTGTGTGCCGGGCATGTGCTCAGGGCTGTGCCCGCTGGGGCAGAGGGTAGCTCTGTGTGCCAGCTTTCTGAGGAATTGCCAACCTCTTCCACCGGGTAGGTACCAGTTTGCCTTCCCACCAGCGATGGATGCGCTTCCAATTCCTCCACGTCCTTACCAATCCTTGTTGTTTTTCTTTTTCTTTGGCATCCCTGCCACTTTAGTGGGGTGAGTGGGAGCGATTTTGATTTCCATTTCTCTAATCAGGCCACTGAACATCTTTCCGTAGTTTCGAGCCGTGGACTCTCTTCTTGGGCAGAATGTCTGTGCAAGTCCTTGGTCCGTGTTTGATTGGGCTGTTTGTCTTGTTGCTGTTTATGTGGTACAAGTTGTTTGTTTCTTTCTTCTGCATTTTGGATATAATGTCTTCATCAGAGATCTGGGTCCCAGTCTGCAGACTGTCTCGTCGCTTGGACGATGAAGCACTTTGAGGAACCAAGGTTGCTTGTGTGCATGAGACCTCCTTGATCTCCTTCGGTGGATCCTTCACGTTTCCCAGAATCAGGAAGTTCTTCCCACCGTCTAATGCAAGCCTCTCATTTGGCAGCCCTGATCCTGCCATGGCTCTAAGTCTCGCGTCCACTTCTCCTCCCTCATCCTTGACATCTGAAGGGACTGAAGAGATTAGACCAGCGCGGTCGGGTCCAGGCCACCCCTGGCTCCAGCCCTGAGGTCACCCCATTCTTCTTTACAGAGGACATCAAGCCCTTTGAGCTCTACGAGATCACTGTGAAGGCTCTGTACCAGGATGCCACGGGACCCTCCCAGAACATCTATGCCTACTCCCAGGAGAAGGGTTCGTCAGTGGCCAGGGCCCTTCCCAGAATCCTCTCCTCCTCTCCCAAGGCCTGCCTGCATCCCAGCACTTGGGAATACAGGGGAGCCTTTCCTCCCTCACCCCCTCAACCTCAAACTCGGGAGAGGGGCTCTCTCCCATCCTAAAATGACCCCTCGCTTACATTTGACCCCGGGAGAAGCAGTTGGACAGAAAGCGGGTAGTGAAAGCTTAGAGTTCTCTGGAACCAGGTGGAAGCCTCGCTCTGCCACAGTGGGAGACGGACCCAGACAAGGGTCCTGGGAAAGTGAGACCACGGAGCAGGTAGAAACTGGCGGGAGTCCCCTTGGGCCCCCGGTTCCGTGTCTGGTGGGGCCATAAGGAAGCCACTGGGACTCACAGCCCTGTGTGCTTCCTGAAAGCCCCTGCACGTTTCTTTCCACAGACCCGCCCAGGGTGCCGGAGCTGCATCTGAAGCACATTGCCAAGACCTGGGCCCAGCTGGAGTGGGTGCCCGAGGCCCCTGAGCTGGGGAAGAGCCCACTCACCCACTACACCATCTTCTGGACCAATGCTCAGAACCGGTCCTTCTGTGAGTATCCATCCTGGGAGGCCTGGGGGAGGGGCATTGCGCAAAACCACAGAGGGAGCCTGAGCGCTGAGCTACCAGGCCCAGGCTGACTGTGCTCCGGCCCCCAGCCGCGGTCCTCAACACCTCCGTCTCGGACGTCATCCTCCATGACCTGGAGCCTGCCAGCTTGTACCACGTCCACCTCATGGCCACCAGCCGGGCCGGGGCTGCCAACAGTACAGGCCTGACGCTGGTGACCTTGGCCCTGGGTAAGGAGATGGGGCTGGGCAGAAGGTTGCTGGGAGGGCGCTCCAGATGCTCCACCCAAGAGCTCTCCATTCTAAAAATAAACCTGCCCAGGACCCCAGCCTGAGGGAGGAGGCCCAGCCTGAGTGGGGAGGCCCAGCCTGCCCTGGGACCCCAGCCTGACCGGGGAGGCCCAGCCTGCCC